TCCATCGAGATTTGCAGGAGCATGAAGAAAGATCACATCACGCTGGAAGTGTACAATGAGCTTCGTGGCACTGACGAAGAGATTCTGGAGAATGACATCAAGGTCCGGGAGATTGAGCTGGAGGAGAGCGATGTTGACACTTAGCGGCTTAGCGCGATGTAGCCGTGCGACCATGGATCTAGGCGCGACCGACCATGGTGGCGTAGGCAAGACAAACAAGTCGTGCTTCCACAGATGCTGACATCATCTGACATCCACATGAGTGGAACCGTATTTTTCCAAGACCCGGCATGACATCAGATCTGTCTCATGCAGCTCTCCCTTACACTTTGATTGCAAGAGTCTTTCATGTCATTTGCGATTGAGAGCTTTTTGCAAGGTTCCAGGAACCGTCGGGGCTGCCCGAACGCGGGCGGCTTCAAGGTCGGCTGGTTTGCGTTCCGTGTCTTGTTTGACAGGGTGCCCGCTAGATAAGAACACCAAGATTGCATATTCAGTGTGCGGCAGCAAGCAGGGTGAATGCCGAATTAATCCGAATTAGCTTGTAATTGTGTATGCTTACACTCCTGAGAGGAAGGGTCCCAGCATGACCAGTTGATTTTGACCCATCAATTTCCATCCCAGGCTACGGCTAGGCATATTCATCACTCTCTAGGTCTCTTAAGTAGCTTGCTTAGAGCACCAAACGTCAGGGGCGTCAACACGCACAACACCCACCAGGCACCGAGACGAGTGGTTGGCGCGCTGCGTTGGGGAGTGCGATCGTCGGACTTCATTCACCACAGGTGCAATGTTTTTGATCGCTACTATAGAAACAAGAAGCTACTAGGTTGGAGGCCATCGCTACCAGGGTGGAGGCAGCTAGTAACAAGAAGCCTTTTAGATAAGTATTGAACATTCAGATCTTGTTTATGCGTCCTTTGTGATGAAAGGTTTTTGGGTCACTCCACAAGAACTCAAGTGGACGAGCGGGGTCCATTCTTTGGTCGTGGGACGGTGTGTCCGGCTCCCCACTGCTACACAGGTGCATCAGCCCGGAATGGACGCTCCTAGATGAACCATTGGAAACAGGCGCTGAAACGGCAGAATTGCTCTTGCATGCGTTTGCTCTGGATGCTGTTATGAACATGTCCTTCCCTCTAAGACTAGCTGTTTCAGCGAGATGGTGCAAACCTCGTTTTCAATGGGCTCTCTACGGGCTGTGCTTGGCACATGGCACGGCGATGTGCGCCAGATGGCTTTGCACGGTTGTGTTTGGAGTCGGTATGTAGGTGAATAGTGATCTTTTTTGGTATAATATATTGTACTCGTAATACAGTCGGTGTCGTGAGGTACAATGTGGGCGGTTTCACCACCAACGCTTTATGTCATGCCGCGCATGGCCACGCTGAATGCGAACCATGACGAATTACACGGCAATTTTTTGGGACCATGGCCCTGAACACTTCCAGATGCAGGAATTGTGACTAGATTGCATATTGATGCATATTGTGACTATTGCTTCCAGATGGGATTGCATACACGTATTGTTTTGCGGTTTTTATGGGCTAGCTGTCCAATATCCCATAGGGTCCAGGTACCTGCTGAAGATGGTCTTGGAGGTGAAAGTACTTCCAGGGGCCAAAGGACATCCTTTACGAAAGCCAGCCGATAGGCTAGGCTTGAGCTTTTAGACCGAACGAAGTGAGTTAAGGGGGTGTGGGGGGGGGGTAGGAGGCGAAAAGGCACCATTTGAGAGGGTGAGCCTGGAGCTTGCCTGGGGAGCGCTCCAAAGCGAGGGTCAGAAAAGGAGTGAAAATGGGGTCTGGCGATGCGAGTGATGCAATGGACGCCGAGTAGTGCATCATTAGCATCACGAAGGGCTGTGGAGGCTATTTGGACAATGGGCATTGATTGTCCCAGTCTCTACTATACTTGAGAAGTCTGGTTGGATGTATTGGGGCCAGTATGGTAGTTGGTTGGCAGCGACGAGTGCCTATCAGAAAAGGGGCCCGTGTAGATAGCAACTTGGTGGGGTGAAGAGATTGCTGTTTGAGGATGGGTTATAGTCACGGATCTGTGATCTGTGGAATATTTTTGGATGACGGTTGGTGGCACTCATGTTGAAGCATACAGTGCCTGCCATCGTCCTAGTAAGCATGTGTTACTTAGATGGTTTCTTCTTTTGACCCTCTCGTCTGGCGGCTGCTAGCTTTCGTTCCCCCCCTTCTCAGGTATAATGTTTTACGGAAACCAGGTAGAGACATGCAACGAGTAATGATCCTTCCTCAACGGCTGTGTTGCGTGTGGAGGTTGGGTCTCCGGATCTCCCCCCTGCCAGGTGTGCAAGGACCGAGCTGTGTGTTTTTCTCCGATGCAGATGGCATGATGCATCGGATGCATCGGATACGGGTGCTTCCGCTTAGATGATAAAGACCGATATGACTGCTGTTTAGCAAACACTAAATCAGCTTGTATAGCGCAGGTAGACAACCATGTGACTTGTCAGAATTTGTCAGAAAAGATCAAAAGCGTGTCGTCAGTCTAGTAGGTTCTGACCTATCTCCATTTGCAAATTTATGATTTTATAAGCGTACCTCTAAATGACGTCTGGAGTTGTCATTGATGGCTAGATGACACGCTGCCAGATTGTAATGCGATGTCATTAAGTGTACTGAACTGGAGCACTTGCGTGCAACCAAGTCTTGACGGTTTTGCAACTGTTTCAGAACAAACACCCTGTAACAGCATGACAATATAGTAATGGTATAATTAATATTGGTAATAACAATAACAAAAATATATGAGCAACCTGATTTATTTACGCAAAGGTATTTGGTAAAGGACCCGACATTGGGATTGAGAATTTGCATTTTACTTGGAAAACGATAATACACTCATCAAAAAACGATAACATATTGATAGCATCCTGTTTTTTTCGGAAAGCTTAGTTTGCATAGCTGCAGTACAGCTTTTTAACCGTGAAGACCATCAGGGAACCTCGTTTCTGCTTAGTGTAGCCTTTCCCAAAGCCGTATTTGACTTCGGACTTTGGCGACAGGTTTGTCCGAAATGTAGCTGTGGTCAAACGATAACCTAAACGATAACCAAACGATAACGTAAATGTAGACGAACCTGTGCTACGAAACCAGTGCCCCACTTGTATCTGAAAAATATCCTCCAAACAAGCGCAAGACATGGCTGGTCTACTACCACTACTACTACTACTCCTGCTGCTGCAGCTTCTACTACTACTACTACTACCACTACCACTACCACTACCACTACCACTACCACTACCACTATCACCACCACTACCACAACCACAAACACAACAACGACGACTACTACTGCTAGTACTGCTCCTCCTCCTGCTGCTGCTGCTGCTGCTGCCGCCACTGCGATTGCCACTGCCACTGCTACTGCTCCTACTGCCACTACCACTACTGCTGCTACTACTAGTACTACTAGTACCACTACTACTGCTACTACGACTACTACCACTACTACTGCCACTAGTACTACTAGTGCTACAATTACTAATGCTACTAGTACTAGTGCTACTAGTACTACTAGTACTACTACTACTGCTGCTACTACTACGACTACTACGACTACTACGACTACCACTACCACTACTACCACTACTACCACTACTACCACTACTACCACTACTACTACTACTACTGCTACCACTACGACTACTACTACCACCACCACTACGACTACTACCACTACCACTACTACTACTACTACTTCTACTACTACTACTACTTCTACTACTACCACTACCACTACCACTACCACCACTACTACTACTACTGCTGCTGCTGCTGCTGCTACCACTACCTACTGCTACTGCTACTACTGCCCCCACCAAACGGCGACAAGTCAAAAACAATGCTGGCGCTGTGTGTAGCGATGCCACCATAGAAGGCGATACCCATGACCTTACTACACTTGACCGTCGCACGTTTGCTTCCATGTCTAAAAAGTCTGCTGTGTTGTGAAAACAACCTTTAGCATAAGTAAGGTTCAAAACGTGGAAAACGATAATACACTCACCAAATTGAAATGTGCAAGGCCCACATAACAAATAAACAGCGTCGCTCATATAGATATGTGAGCATCATGAGACAATGTGAGACATACTTGTTGAGGGGAATTACGTTCTGAGTTGCGGAAACAATCGTGGTGTGCACGAGGCGGGCATGTGAAAGTAGTTGTGGTGCGCAAAAAGGCTGTGTTGGTACCGGAATTTCTCCTACGTGCTGTGCTGCTCATAGCTGTTTGGCTTTCATTGCAGAACCTATCATAGGGTTTCGCAGATCGCGATCGCACGCGATCTGTACAAAACAGTGCTGAAGAGTCGAAGAGAAGCGATTTCCAGCAAATCACAAATCTCGCTAGAGATTTCTAGAAAAAGGTATGGCAGAGGCATTGCACTTCACTGCATCACCAATCACCCAATTGCATAAGGAATTTCTTGAAGAATCGAATTCGGTATTCAAGATCAGATAGGTTTCCTCATGCTTTCCTTCTGTTTCACAACTAGTACCTTGCAGGGCTGGTTCTTCTTCCTTTTCAATGCCAATCACTGTGGTGGCAGTTCTTCATCCCCGAAATGACACCTCTTCATCCCAAGTTCCGATTCAAAGTACCTGGGAATGTCCACGTCAAACATGGAGTCGTGCAGTTTCAGCTCACACCCAAGTGCCCAGGAGCCCCGATGGACCGGTCCGGGTCGGGAGGCTCCCGGGGGTTTGCGAACGGGAGCTCGGTCGATGCAGAACGAGCTGTGAAAAACACATGAAACACACAGGGCAGAAGAGAGGTTCGGTTTGTTCACCTGCCGCAAGGCTCGAAATTACTCAAAGGACATGCCTGGTTTTGGGCTTATGGGAACTTAATTAGCGTGTGATGGGATTTTTAGTTGTAGATACACGAGCTCCCTTCGCTGAGACTCCGAGTGGGGCTCCGCCGATTTCTGTGCTAAGCAGTTCGAGACCTATCGAGGCAGGTCGTTTTCATGTTGGCTGATTTTCACCTCTAAAATCGAGCATCTTGGAGATTTGATGAGGCCACAATGAAGAAAACAACACGACAATCATAACAGGCCGCAAGAAAGAAAGGTCAAAAGAAGAAAAGACTAAGACAGGAACACCATCGAAGAGCAAAACAGAGAAAAGACAGACCAGCTTTGTTCGTGTTTCTCGGACATTGGAGATGGTTAGTGATGGTCACATAGTTCTTCCTCGGTCCCGCTCAGTCCTTGGCTAGGCTGTTTTCGACGCACTGAAGCAGAGGTGGAGCGGGAGGGTCTGAACACGTTGTGACCAGCATTGATGCACAGATCGTTCCGATATTGGGAGAACCTCTGTCCAACTCCAATACTTAGCTGGCTCCTCGTTTTTGCTCAAGTGACAACAGTTATGTATATCCTCCAATTGTCGTTCTTTGCAACATCCAAGCTTGGATATTTCCACGGCCGCAATGATGGCAATGGTGCTGTTCCTGTTGCCCTGCTTGTTGTCAACTGTGTACGCGATGCGGGAGAATCGTCACGACTTGGAGCGACGCGAGGGGAGAATCGGTCTCGGTCTCTTCACCAAATGCCGCAGTGCCAAGTGCAATGACCAAACATTTGAATTCCCAGGAGATTTGGGAGGAACGCTTGCCATCAAGGATTGCCAGGTGAAGAAGAATCAGCCCTTTGAAGGATCTGATCATCATCGCATGTGCGAGGAGACATGCACAGTCTCTCTGACCAACAACGAGTCCATGACCGTGAAGGTCTGGCGTAAGAGCGGCCACGGACTTCAGGAGTGTGAATTGCAGAAGGGCGGACATTATGACTTGTGTCGCCTAGCCAAATGCAATGACCAAACCTTTGAACTGTCAGGGGATGGAGGAACATTTGCATTCAAGGATTGCCAGCTAAACCAGTCAAAGGAGAATCAGCCCATCGAAAGACTGAATGGTGAGGCCATGTGCGTGGAAACATGCACTGTCTTAGACTCAAATGAGAAGTCCCAGACCGTCCAGGTGCGGCGCCAGAGCGGTCGCCGCGTGAAGACTTGCCAGTTGATGGGCCACGACTTGTGTGAAGACACCTGCTGCGTGAGCAAGTGCGGCCGAAGTGGCCAAAGCAAATTCCAGGATTGTGAGTTGAAGGGTCCGGTGACGATTGGGATCCGTGACTTTTGTGTGGAGAAGTGCAAGGCAGCCAGCTCCGGCTCCGGCTCCGTCGATGTGTTGCGGCCAAGTGGGGGGCAAGCGTTTTGTGAACCGCAGGCCATGGACTTTGTTGAGCAACTCGAGAAGGATGCCTTGAGCATTAGTGATGGCCAGTATGGGCAGCTGCCGCTGATGAAGGCAGTCAAAGTCATATTCTTCCTAAGAAAAGTGAAGGAAGACGTCCTTGGGCCAGAGTTTCAAGCTGCTGAGGGGCATCGCACCAGCCGAGAGATCTCAACGGAGGTCAAACATGTCGCGATCATTGGAGATCTTCATGGACAGCTCTTCAATCTCATTGCTCACTTGATCCGTATCAAGGAGACTTACAAGGACAAGGGGTTCATTCCGCTTGATGGATCCTCGTTGCTTTTCTGTGATCCGCGCATGCAGTACATCTTCCTGGGCGACTACCTGGATCGGGGTGAAAGAGGAATTGAACTGCTGCTGCTTCTGTTAGCCTATAAGGCACGGGTTTCAAAGTCTTCCGTATCCAAACCTAGTTTTCTATATAATTCTCTGTATACAATTCGCTATCAGGTTCGAGGCCATCGCTATTAGATTGGAGGCCATTAATCTAAATATAATATGCACCTTGCCACTTGCCACGTAGAATAAATCAAGGGGCAATGATGCGCATCTTTTGATGCTTTGTTTGCCAATAAGCAGACAGTGACTATGCAGTGTTCTTTTTTTGTGTTTCTTTGGCTGAATTGAGACATGGTTTGCAACGACATGACAATCCTCAGTGTGCAACAAAGACCTTTCTACATTGTGAAGCACACTGGTCCCCCAGTCTCTCCGTCCAGTCTCTCAGTCTCGGCTTTGGACACAAGTCCCTTCCAACCCCAAGACCAAAAGACCAAAACCATCCCTTCCCCAAGTCCCGACCTGAACAACTGCTTGAGCGTCGAACGCCGGGAATGGCACACGGGACCTGGAGGTGGTGAAAGGTGACAAAAACCGCTGAAAGGTGACAAGAGGCACATGAACCTCCCACTGAAAAGGATCACCAGGTGACCAGGTCTGTTTTCTCACCGTTTCTGCCTCCATATGCCTACCTGGCCTACCTACCTGTCCGCAAGACCAAGTTGGACCAGGACCAGACACAGTTGAACCAAGTTGAGCCACCAAACACAGTTCTCCACGGCCAACGTGACCGCGTCTCCACGATGGCGGACCAGTCCTCTGCCATCGCGCGGACCAGCAAACCGAGACACGACCAGACGTGAGACACGACCAGGTGTGAGCCGTGTCCATGACCATTCATCCCTGTGTTTTTCAGGCACGATGCCCTAAGGGCCTCATTCTCTTGAGAGGAAACCATGAGGATCCGGATGTGTGGGACGACTACGGGTTTGGAGGGGAGCTGCAGCACAAGTTCCCGTACGGCCATTTGTTCATCAGACAGGAAGTAAGCACTCTTGTTAGTCTCTTGCCATATGTTGCCGTGGTGCCTGGCAATTTCATGGCCATGCATGGTGGCATCACCCCCGCGTTCGTGAAGGCGTGCACGGGAAAAGCTGGTCGGTTTGGCAAATGCCTTGACCGCTACATTGCCGACATGTCAGCTTGGGCTGATCCTCACAAGGGCAATGGCTGGATCCCGTCTCACAGAGGTGAATACATTTACGAGTTTGGTATGGACGAGGCAAAAGCCTTCCTTCAGTCCAATGGCCTGAAAGGCATTTTTTCGTGGCCACGAACAAGTGGAGACAGGCCACACAAGCATGGTCTATGATGGATACTACGTGACGACGGTCTTCTCTGCTGCAGACTACGTTGACACTTTTTGCAGGGGCCAAGAACCTCCATGGATGTTCGGTGCAGCTGGTGAAGGCAATTCCGGCGCCTTTGTGTTAGTGGACTTGACTGATGGCACAGTGACCCATCAAGCGATGTCCGGATCAAAGACAAGAGCCTTAGCTGCTCAGTTCACAGGGGCAAAGTGCCACGGGAGTTGGTTGGAAACAGGATCCCACCAATCCAGAAGCATTGAGAGTTTCATGCAGGAGAATCACAAGCGCCTGGCTCATGGCAACACATCTTGCACCTTGGACCAGACGGAAGTAGACTCCTTCAAAGAAGAGGTGCGCAAGATCTTGAGCACTTCGAAGGACCAAGCATCTCAAGAGTTTGAGGCTCGAAAATTGATTGATTTGCAGGGGGAGGCTTTGACCCATGGCGAGTCCATCGAGATTTGCAGGAGCATGAAGAAAGATCACATCACGCTGGA